GTCTTTGCAGGGTTTGTTTTGCTAAAAGACTTGTGAATATTTTGGGATTTATTTATCTTCAAAGCTGGTAGATTTGCAACCTTATTTTGTAGTTGTCAGCGACCAATGCTTAGTATTCTTTAATTATTTTGGATTTTAATGAAATGTCATTCATAATTCATTGACACAGCATGTATTTAAGCATCTTAAACTTACGGTATTTTCTTTTAAAAAGAAATATAAAAAATGTTTTTCTGAACATACAGAGCTACTCTTTGACTTCCATTTTTTTAAAGGATAAACTTGGGGTAAGATAATTCATATGCTTTAGAGCAGACAAAGTATTTGTTTTCCATAAGAATTTTGTTTGCACAAAGTTGGACCACTTAGTAAGAGAACAGAAATATAGATAATGGTGGAATTTGTCATTTATATTTAAAAATGACATAAAAAGAAATACATGAGATTCAGGCAGCTGAGGAATTGACGCCTCCACATACACATATGAAAAGGGTTTTAGCTTTAGGGAGTCACTGTAGCAATTTTCACTCCCAGCCACTGGAGTAAGAAGATGCTTTTAAGCAGGACCGCTCACTTTCAGATATCATATGTGTAACCCAATATGTCACCCATCTGGCATTCAGCACTTGGCACACATCTGTGCTCCCACTGTTCTCAGCTCACTTTTTGAGCTGGCACTTCTTCCAGCCAAGTAACAATATCTGTAATGCGCTTCCATGTGGAATGTTCATGTAATATGAATTGCCTGGAAAAGGTAGATGGGAATAGTGGGGCTCCACAGATGCAGAAATTAGAAATCCAGATATGAAAAAGAATACATTTCTTTCTCTTTAGTTTGTCCCCAAAGAGAAAAATGAGCCAACTGGCTTGAAACCCAAAAAGATTAATTCCCTGGCAATTTCATTCCATTCTAAGCATTTTTCCTGAATTGTCAGAGTAATTTCCTTCCTCTGCTCCCATTCCAAATGTCTCTTAGTCAAATACGATTTTGCTATTATTACTACTTGTATTACAGGAGGACTAAGTCACAGCCCATGACCTTCATATAATGCCAACGTCAGTAAAACACTGAGGATCAATGTTAGATTCTGTCTTTTGGGACCGAGTCTAGAAATAGATAAGCAAAGCACAATTCTTTGTTTCAGGGCTTCTTCTGGTCACTTATGAGGATGAGGATTTACCTTTTTTTTCCCTCTTCTTGGCATACTACTACTCTTTTTATTAATTTGTCATCTTCTGTTTGTGGTTATTTTCTTCAGTATATAGTTACACGGTTGCTGATTTTGGGTCAGAAAGAAATTTTGCACCAAATTCAGGATCTGCTGAAGGGCATTTTAATTCCCTCCTAATGCCAGAGTCAAGAATGATGGCAAGGCAATCGGCCTCTCCTGCTCTCTCTCTGTGACAGACTGTATTTTTCCCAGAGTTTACCTTCAATCTGCTAAAGCTCTTAATTTGTGCAATGGCATTAAAATATGTTTTGTGGGGTTTGGAGTGTGCCCAAGCATGAAATGGATGTTTGGGGATAGCTCTGATTGAAAATTCAACAGCACAGCTACATGGATTTCCTAGACTGAGCTCAACTCAAGGGACACCATGCAGCAAGGCTTGGTCTCTCTGTCTGAGACGTGAACTCTTGTCGTGTTTGTGCCTGAGGTGTAAAGCCTTCTCCATGAGCCCATGCCACTGCAGAAAGCCTAACTGAAGAAATACACAACAGGACATGGCAGCTTTAAGACTGTGTATCCCATAGGAGCCACACCAATCCATTCAAAATGATATCAGGATATCGAGAGGACAGATATGTGTACAAAAAATGCAGTGGGGAGTGGGATAGGAATGAAATTCCTAAACAGGCTGAAAATCTTATTTTAAGCAGGGAACCACCTCTGTCTGAGAATGAACATAGCCCATCTTCAGCTGCAATATATACAACTATGGAGCCCCACATGCTGCCAATTTGCCATGGAAACATAAGAATCTTAAAGAAAACCACCAGTTCAAGCCTATTGCTGGTGTTAACATTGTAGCACAACTGAGCAAATGAGAATTATTTGAGAAGCAGAAATGAAACATTGCAGATCATAAAATCACTAGTTTAACAAACATAACAGAAACGTAAACACAAAAAAGGATGCGATTTTGGAGTTTGATGTGTGAGTCAGTGAAACACCTTAGAAATGCCTGAAGAACAATCAGAATGTTCCATTTTCCAATTAAATACATTAGAACATGAGCAGCATTCATATATATTTAGATTAATTTTAGCTCAAAATCCTTATTTGATCTAAATTATAATAAATGTAGTTAGTTGAGATATTTATAACAATAAAACAGTATACTTGTACAAAAAAATAACTATATCACAATACTTGGCTGGAAAGCAGAATTTAGTATTTATGGAAGTGAAATAAACATGAAAAGACAAAAGAGCTGATTACATTTATGGACGTGCATGGAGAGATCAAAACAAATGTAGGAAGATGTATTTGCTCTTGACTAAAAATTACAGAGAAATAGACTCACTAAAATAGTCATGCACTAAATTCATGGTGCCGCTTTAAATAATCATTCAAGAAATAGAACAAAAAATCCATTTCTTACAAGAATCATAATTTAACTCTAATTTACTCTGCCTTTAAATCTACAGTTTTGTTTGGAAAATGGATCTATTTTTGAGAAGGCCGTTCCTATAAAGCATAGTTCTGAAAGAGAATTGATTTGCAAGTGACATTGTAGAATTATTTCATCATCTACTCCTTGATGTAACTAAATAGTTGTGTATCTAAATACAGACAAGATTTTCATTTGGAAGATACACGTCTCTGATAATTCCTTAAATTACATTTTCTTTTCTCTTCTAGAAGGGAAAGGCTCAAGGAAACAGCTTCTCTTTAGTGAACATGAGAACAAAGGCAATTCTGAGAAACATAACTTTCAGTTGTGCCAAACAGAAGCTAATATTAGATACAGAACTGAAAATCTAGAGTAAATTCCCTTGAAGACACAGTTACCTGCTGTAACAATTTTGTAATTACCATCCTTATAAAGAGATGGCATTTTTAAAATCTTAGCAGGATTTTACAGGAACAGTGATTTAGAAAGAGTTGCAATGATTCATGCGAGCTGAGAATCTGCTCCAGCAAGCCTATCCACAATCAAAATTTAAAACCATAATGCTGCTTTTCAGAAAAGAAACTGGAAAAATTACAAACCAAAGAGTCCTTTCTTCCTGCTTACAAACAAATGTAGATTTTCTCAATGCGACTTTAGAACAGTTACAATCTCTTGCTCTTAAAAAAAGGCTAACAGGAACATCTAATTTTTAAAAAGGATTTGTAAAAATCACAAGCAAAGCTCCTAAGAGTCCCAAACTCTTCTCATTAATAAAAAAAGCAAAAATGCAAATGGGAACCAGGGCACTGTTGTGGCTTATGTGAACATATGGGGATATTAAATTGTAAGAAAAGGAACTGCATGTACTTTTGGATTAGAAACCTACACATAAAGAAATTAAGAGTAAAGACAGAATTCAGGCCAAAATAGTTCACTCACTGCAATACAAACATGTGCACCAGTCAGTTCCAGTAAATGTATTGAACATGCTGCCAAATAAAGCCAGAATGTGCTGTGCAGCCAGCTAGATGTTGTTTAACACAAGATGGGTATCACAGAGAACACAATGAGGAGACCAGATTTAGAGCTATTTAACAAAGCTTTCTTACTGTGCCAGGAAAGTGTTTTTTCTGCTGCCCTTTAATATTTGTCAAATAGAAGTGGAGTATGCTCAGTTTGCTATTTAAATACTCATTTCAGACTGTAATTCTAAGTAGAGAATGTGAAACATAGATGTCTTTGAGGAGAATTCTGGTCTTCAAACTTATCACTGTTTCCTGCTTCTTTAGCCCAAGGTCTGTTTCTCACTAACTTATGGCACTGTACCAATTTCTGAAGAACACATGCTAAGGTTAAAGGTTTCTGTCAAATCAGTTCCACATCAGATACTGTGATGTCATATGTAAGACATCTCCAGGATTTATCTTAGCTCTACATAGTTCTGTATAAAGAAAGAGGACAGTCATTGCTACTGGCTTCATCCCTCTGCATAGTTATGCTGAAAGGAAAGGGGAGTAAAAAAGGATTATTTCCATAAAGGAAAGAATGAACATTAAAAAATGATTCAATAATAATGCAGGAGAAAGGGTTCCTCCTCAAAGGGGTGGATCTTAATTGAATCAATTTAAAATTCAGTCAAAGCAGTGGAATTTGAAAAATGAATCATTAGTTCACATATTTACTTAGACCTTGCAATGCGACTGCGCCTTATTTGAAGCGCTAGCTAGGATGCTCTTGGAATCAAAATCAGCAATAGTCAACGAGAAGCCTCTGTAAAAATAGCAGAAAGAATGATCTACTTTCTATGGATACGTGTTTCCAGACTGATTAACTCTTGTGTCTAAGAAAATCACAGCTCCGTTTTAAATCCTTCCTGCTGCTCTGGCATTAATAAAAGTGGATTCTCTTCTGCTTTTTAAGTAGTGAATGCTTGGCGTCACTTTCTTATAATTAAAGCACTAATGAGAATCTCACTTTTACTTGGCCACCTGTTTTAACAAACTGTTTGGAGCCCTAATTTCTCTAAAGGATGACAAATTCAATCAGATTTGCTTGACACAGATGTGAAAATTAAGTAAAGAAAAGAAGGGGGATATATAGGGAGAGTAATATCTGCACCTGAGACTGCCTGAGATATATTTTCATAGGAAATTTTGCTAAAGAGATGTCTATGTGCATGCTTGGGTCTTATCAGATGGATATATTTTACTAGATGGAAGCAGACACTAATTCAGTCCAGCAGTTAGTATATTCCCTACATAAAGAACATATGTATAAATACAGCTCTATTGATATATGAAGCATATATGGAATAAGTCAATTGGAACAACATTGAAGTTACTTCCTTTCCTTTTTTTTTTTTCCTTTTTTTACCATTTTTGCAGAGTATTTGGTGCTGCTATACTGCTGACATCCTCCCTCAACATGTTAATACCGTCTGCAGCCAGGGTGCACTATGGGTGTGTCATCTTTGTTAGGATCTTGCAGGGCCTTGTAGAGGTACGGAAAAACATCATAAAGTAACCAGTAAATCTGATAGATACTTGTCAGCTTTTAATCAGCAACCGTAACTTTTGGGAGAAAATAAAAATTGCTTTGTTTATTACTGATTTTCTGTTTAATGGATTTCGTTATATGAATTACAGCTATTTAATTTTCCTTCATCTGTAATACTACATAGCAAAGATTTTCCCTGCTGAGAAGCAAAAAAATATTTATTTAAGGTGGAAGTTTTACTGAAATATTCTACTGCACAGAGTTCATACTTGTGCTATTCTCAACAGCTACTTGCTGTCCAGACGCACAGACTAAATCTACCATAATGAAATAAGCAATATCATAATGAATAAGACATTTACCATGTCTCAAGAGAGAAAAAAAATGAGCATGCCTTCTAAATTTTTTTTTGTTTCTTTACTGAAAACCAGAATTTTAGGCCTATGATCACTGGTTCTTTGTTCCTCAGGGCTACATATTTCTGTTGCATGAATTGCTTTTCAACTTGTGCATTTTATTGTATAAAAAGACTCCAAAGAGGGTGCAGAATGTGCCTGAAAATCAGGTTATTGGTAATCAAGTTCTTAAAGTAACCAAATTCTTAAAGTATTTGTGTATAAATCTGGATCCATTCCTGAAAAGTGATCTGCATGTAGAGAGGTATGCCTGACTGCAAAGAGGAGAGGAACAGAACCAAGTGGGTAATTACAAAATAAAATAGCTATTTTAGACTCACTCATCTCTGTGATACTGTTCAAAGGAATTGTGAATGCCAAACCTCTCAACAGGAGCATTTGAAGAAAGTTTACAATAAATCATGACAATCTTAAGATTACATCTTAATATTTTTTTTTAATAGCAAAAAGACTGTATGGAATATTCGTTATGCGATCTTTCTTTCAAAACAGAAAAAATGTATTTTACAAATTTTTTTGTATGTTGAGACTGATAATTTCAACATTGATGATAACCTCAACATTTGCAAAAAGCTATTAATTTTTTCTACTTTTTGTGCATAGGAAACAAAACACCAGATTAAGATGATCGTATTTTCTAGTTTTAGAGCAGTGTGACAGCAATTTGTATTTCCTGAACTGTGCTTTAAATGTTAGATAAAAAATGCTAGAAAGCCATCAAAATTGAGGATTGGGGAAATCAGAGCAGCATTAGAAAGACTCCAGAGGGTCTGTGTTTTCATCCTTCCTTTGACTCTGGTACTTCTGAATTAAGATTCTTTCTTTTCAATTCTTGTAATTAAGTTTGATATCTGTTTCATAAGGCTTCTTTAATCATTTGGAGCAATATACAAAAACCATTTCAACTTTAACTGAAATGGAAGCTTTCCTATGGCTGTGCTCAGACTTTGCTATAGAAATGCAAAGCCTTCTCAACTTCTTGTTTGTAGCAATTAAGAACAAATAAAAATCATAGAAAGACAATGATCTGAGTGATTGATCAACATTAGCTAACCTGTGGCACACCCATTCCCCAGGGGGTCACCTACCCTGCCTGCCACGGTATTTGGAGCAAGTGGGCCCCCCCATTAGAAAGAAGTAGATTAGCAACCACTTCCTTTTGTGGTAAGTAACCTTCTAGTTTTGTCTTTTTTTCATCTGTAACATAGAAGTATTTCTAGACTGAATTTTTCTCCCTTTTCATCTACACATCTTCTTTTGTAGGTTCCTATGCAGGAGCTGTTATTGCAATGCCTTTAGCTGGAATTCTAGTGCAATATACTGGGTGGTCTTCTGTGTTCTATGTGTATGGTATGCATTTTTGCTCATCTTACTCCCATGTTTTACGACTTTACTCTTACTCTGTCCTTTCTAAAAATGTAAATCTTCTGTTAAGTGGTAAAAAAAAAGGAAAAAAGGGGGAGTGAGTATGTAAAGCTAAAAATAGTCTAGAGAAAAGGACAATGAAAGAACAGAATTGAAAGGAGAGAGTAGGCAAGTAGCATTATTAAATAAGAGGAGAAGCTAGTTCATGGTAAAACCTTCATCACTTCTAGTACAAGCAGTGCAAACAGCTATGCAGATCTGCAGAATCTCGGATCATGTAATGTTGTTCTTTCATTTATAAAACTGTAAGTCTAGAGTACCTGCCCTAAGATGTCGTGATTTTCATCTGAAGACCTACAGAACTTCATTCACACTAGCACAACTCGTGTGAAAGAAGTTCTGCTCTTTACTTAGACTGATGGAAAGAAATATCCCAAAGGAGTTCATTCTGCAGTGTAAAATTGATGTGAATTAAGGGGAAACTTTATAGAAATTTAATAAACTGCTCAGGAATTGTATTGCTATGTTGAAAACAACGCCATAATCTTGTATTTTGCCAGTAAAAAAATTAGTGCAGTAATCAAACAACAGTGGCTTCAAGCCATTTCACCAGTCTGGTGAAATGAAATGGAAGCCATTTCATTGCATTACATTGTATGAATTGATGTTAAAATATCAGTGAATATTCACTTGCAGTGAAATCCTTCTGTAAATGAATCAAAGAGAACTTCACTGTGTTCCAGCTCTGCATGTATTTTGCATAAATATTGTTTGCAGGATCCAAGTCTCTGTTAGCATGGCTCAGCAGAAGAGCAGTAACGACAAATGCCATTTATATTTTTTATAATTATTCATACATTTTTCCTTGCTTGCGGCTTTATTGTGCATTTCTTTTTAAAGTGTTTCTTTCCATTCCAAAGGGAGCTTTGGTATAGTCTGGTACATGTTTTGGCTTTTGGTTTCATATGAGAGTCCTGCAAAACATCCTACGATCACAGATGAAGAAAGGAGATACATAGAAGAAAGCATTGGAGAGAGTGCCAACCTCCTAGGGGCAATGGAAGTAAGAATATTACTCACACCCTTGTTTCCTATGAGATAGTAGTAAAACCCCCAGCAGAAGCAACAACAACAAAATCAAATACCCTTCTTTTTTAAGATAGAAAAGTATGTTTCAAACAACCAAATTTTGTTGGGAGTGGGGAGATCTGAAATTTGATGATGGATTTCTAGTCGAATATTGGTGGATATTGGAGAATATAGGTTCCAGTTCTTCTAGGAGGTCACTTGTGGAATTTATGTCTCTTTTTCTGCTCCAAAGTATAAAAAGTCTACAGCTAGTTCTCATTTGGACTGGATAATTTCTGCCTATTTCTTTTGTTGCTTTTTAATTAAATATTTTTGGAAGTGATCAGTTTTATCAATAGTTCATCTGTTTCTAAAATATTTAGGCTAAACTCTTCCCATAGTATCAAATTAGCTTTTCTGGATGGCTTCTCATTAATTAAGTCACACTTAATCCTTAGCTGTCATTTAAGTGTGATTTAATAGATATACAAGGTATTGCATATGTCCATCTATGGGATGCTTTTCTTTGAAGAAAAGCCAGTATTCAAACCAACAGTAGATTAAATTCAGCCTGAAGTGATTTTTCAAACACTCATCTGGGTCTAGATCCTGTATTTGGATCAACACAGATGGGCAGAACTCTGGGCTCATGGAGAGGTGTTGGGACTCAGCAGGACTGTAGTTCTGTCCATCTGTCTTTCTTTCTTTTTTCTTTCTTTTTTTTTCTTTTATTTTTTCTCCATTATGCAATTCATTTAAAATAAAATAAACCAAACAAAATATTTTGACCAAGCAGGTTCAGCTGAGGCTTGATAAAAGAGCTATTCAGAATGCTGGGATAAAGACTTAAATACTAAAATACATGTTTAAAATAAATCTGGGTGAAATTTTGTAAAATCTGACTGTTGCCTTAGAAGCAATAACAATGCTTTTGTTTTTAAATTAAATCTTTATCATCCAAATATGGATGTATGTACTTTATGATAATTGAAGACATTGGAATCCAGATTCATAAAGCTGTGCATAGATGAGCTTGTTGGGAGTACAGGTAAAATAACAAATAGGAAAAAGGAAGATAGATGATAATGATCAAATCAGTGACTGGATCCCCCTTGCTATGTTTCAGAAATATAAAACTCCGTGGAGAAAATTTTTTACATCTATGCCAGTCTATGCAATAATTGTTGCAAACTTCTGTAGAAGCTGGACCTTTTACTTGCTGCTTATTAGTCAGCCTGCTTACTTTGAGGAAGTGTTTGGATTTGAAATAAGCAAGGTAGGTAAAAATAAAGTAAAGCTTTTATCTTAGCTAAGTAAATATCAGAGCTACATTTCTGGTGTTTGATGTTGACATGGATGTTCATGAATGGTTTTCATTTAGTCAGGAACGCCTCAAAGCAGTGACTGCAATACCATAGTTACCTCACAGTTAATGTCTGACTTACCGGGAGAAACATGTATCACCGTGAAGCTAGCTTTCACACCAGAGTTACCATACACACAAACTGCAGTGGGGTGCAGTTTCACAGCTTTCAGTTAGAGAGAAGAAACTTGTCTTCTTTTTGTTCTCATGGAGTCTGTCTGCTCTGTATGCTGATGTAACTCAAGTCAGACGTCAGGCCAGCTGATACACTGTTCAGACAGGAATTATGCAACTCCCTCTGTGCTTAAGCACTTTTTCAGATGTATACAATAATCAGAATTTCCTATTAGAACAAAATGCAAGGCATAGTACACTGAGCTAGCTGCAAGGCAGTTACATTGACAGGAAGGGGGCTGTAAGTCAGAGAAAAATAAATGTTAGCCTAAATATATATAAACCAAAAGTGTCAGGGTATCTGAGGTTCTTAAAAACTCCATCTGTCCTTCATAAAATACAATGAAAACTTAAGATTGCCGGTTTTGTTCATTACCATTTTGTTCTTACCAAGGTAAGATTTTTAGCTTTAAATACATAGCCTGAAACTAAAGATATGATTAATTAGTTGTTGAATGCTTCAGAAAACGAAGAATCAATATTTTTTTACAGTTTATACTCTGCTAATTCTAATGATTATTTTAGGTGGGTATCTTATCTGCTGTGCCGCATTTAGTGATGACAATTATTGTTCCTATTGGGGGACAAATTGCAGACTTTTTAAGAAGCAGGCAGATTCTTTCAACCACTAATGTGAGAAAGATAATGAACTGTGGAGGTAAGTCTTCCTATTCTATTAAAAAGTTTTTTGTACAGATTCAATGTCCACTTAGTGTGCTGTATACAGTAAACAAACAAATTGCGTGGTTTTATGCACTCATGAAGCAATACCTTGTGCATTTTTTGCACACCCTCTGCACTAAGAGAGCCCAGAAAACTACTTGAGATTCCATATCTGACTTCGGAGAGGTTAAAGTCACGTGAGCTAATCCTGGCTGTGATCAGGACTACAAAATTCATAAGCAGGTCAAGTGTGTATTCCCATTAGAGTTAGCTGGAATGACCAGGTATTTCTCTTCATCTTAAACCTGTCAGTAAGTAACAATAAAAGCTCGAAAAGCAAAAAATAAGGATTATTTGAGATAGCAAGATCATGTGTTTTTCAGGGATGAAAGAAATACCTGATTATATTCCACTCTGAGGTAATGTTTTGTCTCTGTCTGACAATGAAATATTATCATATCCTAAGGCCTGCAATATTTGAGAGGTAGTTAAATCTGATGCCTGGTTTTCTTTATCATTTCCCCAGGTTTTGGTATGGAAGCAACTCTTCTTCTTGTGGTGGGATATTCTCACAGTAAAGGAGTGGCTATTTCATTCTTAGTACTTGCTGTGGGCTTTAGCGGATTTGCCATATCTGGTGAGGTTATATTATTGTTATATTCTTACATATATATACTGTTATACTGTAAATTATTTAATCTTAAGAGATAGAACAACTTGTTTATTTTTTTACTCATTGATAGTAGTTTAAATAAAACCTTGGAATTCCAAAAAATGTTATTTATGGTCATTGCAAATGAAAGTACAATCAGTATCATGTATTTTATGTTAGATTATTTTTGTTCAAATACTTCAATATTTTCCATATTCATTACAGCATAGACTTCCTTTTCAGTGAGGTGGTAATGTGTGCCACAGTTTTTTCTTGAAACCAAACATACAACAAAAATGGACTGATACTATACAATGACATCTAAATTTACACCTCTCTCTATATAGGCTTTTTACTACTTTTTTTTCCCACTGTATATTAGCTAATGCTCTTCACTGTTGCTTTTTTAATTACTTTGCAGACTAATTACTAGCATTTTTTTCTGTTTTAAAATTCAGCTCTTCCCCTTTCCTGC